CACACACACACACACACACACACACACACATACAGCACACACACACACACACAACACAAGCATGTCACTACAAACTCACATGTCACTACACATATAGCACACACATGCGCACATCGCTGGACATACACAGATCGTAACATACACAAACACACGCATCCGCAGTTCCCCCGTGTTGTCATAGAACAGCTCATAAAAGTTGATATTGATAATACCATTAAGAGACACAAAACAACTTCCCAAAAATTGCCATTTTGTGGGGCTCTAATATGAGAATATTCCAGTTGTTGCCTCTACCACGCTTCTCAAACCTTCTTTCAAACGTCCTTTATTTGCAATCTCATTTTCCAAAACTCAAGGTTGGCTGTTGGGGTTGCAGGGGTTGTTGGGCAAATGTCAGTGTACTAAGGAGGTTAGGCATCGAAGGCATCCAAGAGGATGTGAATCCCTTTAATAAATCTTCTGTGGAGGCTGTACTAATAACCCCCGTTCCTTGTTTCTCTATTCCATCCTCGATTCCTCTATTCCCCAGCCTCCTTCCCCTTCTTTCAACTTTCCCCCCCCCCATCAACTTTCCCCCCCTTCTTTCAACTTTCCCCCCCCCATCAAGTTTAAACCCTTTTCACTAAGCTCACTTACTTCCTGCTTTTCCCCCTTTTAATTTTTTTATTTTTTTTTAATAACCTGCTTTCCCCTTTTCACTAAGCTCTCTTTTTCTGTTGTCTTCATGACTCCTTTCTTTTGCCATTATCGCGTTTTCATGTCTGCTTGCTACGTATGACGTGTTGCGCCGTTCTCCAGAGTTTGTTTTGGGACCCTGGTGTCTCTTCCACTTTTGATTATCTACTACGTTATTCTGGAAAAGATTCTGTGAAAACATTCTGTAAAAAGCTTCGGTGAAAAGATTCCGTGAGGCGTCACTCAAGATGCAGCACCAAATTTCAAATTATCTCGGCAGCAGAACTTCAGATAAGTGAAGTCTTCGAGCCAGTTCGAGGGGGGGAAATACTCAAGGGGAAAGGAGGTGTGCTCTCTACATAAACTCCTCAGCACCGGGGCGAGAGCCGTGGCCTTCAGACATCGTCACCGTCAACCTTGGATTGCCAGTTTGGATTTGATAGCAAGAGGGCATGGAGAGTGAGAGGTCTGCTGAGGCAGCAGGAGACTTGGTTCATCATTTAGAAGGGGGGGGGGAGCGGAAGTGGGACAGGAGAGGGGGAAAGAAATGGACAAAAACGAAAAATCTACGGCGGACTAGAGCGGACTTTTCAAATTGACATTCAAAACCTCTTATAAAATGGTTTTCGGGACGAAAGGCTTCGTAGACAAGGTGGTATGAGAGAACGCTGGGCCGAGTACCTGAAAATCGGATCGGTGACTATCGGTCTGGCTTGGGAGGAATTTTTTTATGGTTGGATTTTGCCGGCGGCGTAGTGGCGCTTTACAAATTAGGAAAGCAAACCAGCAAACGCAGCAGCCCTTTCTCAATGGCCAATAGCAACACAGATGCGTTCGTTCCTATTTCTGAATGGATTGGCTGATTGATCACACACACACACCTAGAACAGAACGGCGGACTGTTGCCTTGGCACAAGTGCTGCCGTGGACGGCATGGAGACCTTCCCCAGAGAAAAATCATGGAGACAATAGAGCACCTACTTCTCTCCTTCCCTCAGTCAATACTCCCATGGAGTTGTTGGGATAGAATGTGGAGGTGGCTGACAGCCGAACCAAGCTGGCCATTGGAATGGAGAGCCATACTACTGGCACATTGCCCAGAGTACACGTTGGAGAAGAGCGGGGGGGGGAGAGGAGAGGGGGGGGGGGGGGGGGGGGGGGGGGGGGTCGTAGCAAAGTACCGTCTTCACCCGAATAAAACACCCTGTTATTACCACTGCATCTGGTGTGGAAGTTGCACCAAATACAGATATAAAGGCCGGGCGTTCAATTTGGGCGAAGACTGTAGTTTGCGCTCGCCAGGAAGGCAGTTTTGTGGACTATCGTGAGGTGCACTGATGAATGGGAAGACGTCATGCTGGCAGCGCTGGAGGTGTATCAGATACGCACAGAGGTCATCCACACTACCTTCTTCCCCCAAATACAATGTACGATCATTATAGCTGTATTTAGACTGAAAGGTACCCCCCAAATACAGCTATAATGACCGTGTAGGTTGTATTCAGGGGAAAAAGCTAGTATCCTTATGGAATGGCGGCTCGCAATTGAGTAAGACAAACAGATTAAAAAAAAAAAAAAAAAAAAAAAAGTCTTGAATAAGCAAAAAAAAAAGGAAGACAAGAAAAAAAAAAACCCCCCCAAAAAAAAAAAAAAAAAAAAAAGGCTGAGCAACTCAAATTCCATTCCAGGTTGATTGCAAGGATCGAGAGAGATGTACCCAGGTCTCAAGGAGTCCCCGCCGACTCCACGGGGATTCCACAGACTGCACAAGCAAAGAGAACTCTGAGTCATTGTTTTTTCGAGGCCGGCCTTGGAACTAGCAGACCTTTTATCAACGAGTGGGCGGTCCCAGGACAACTGTTTTCGGACCGAGTGGTCCTCGCTTGGTACGGAAGCGGGTGATTGAGTGGTGGGCCTCGCTTGGTATGGACGCGGGTGATTGAGTGGGATTGAGTGGGTGGATTGCTGCAGAAATTGTGGAATGACGTGTCATCCCTCGGTATGGATGCGGGCGATTGGGTTTGGGTTTGGATTTGGGTTTAGGGTTGGTGGACTAGCAAAGGGACCTGTCCAGCAATGGTTGCATGGTTGGTCACATGATCTCTGCTAGGCCTTCGACTTTTTATTTGCCAGCGGCAGGTCCTTTGGCACAAGCTCTTTAGTCCTGGCCTCCCGACTCCTAGGAAAGTTATCCTCTGGTTTTCCAGGGCAGACAATGCTGGACAGTTTTTTGGTTGTCCTTGGGGTACCCCTTTCATTGTTCTTGCAGCTCCCCGATTACTGTGCCTCTTACGCACAAGGCTGCCCACGTTGATTGTAGTTGAGCGGCATGTGTGTGTGTGTGTGTGGGTGTGGGTGTGTGTGGGTGTGGGTGTGGGTGTGGGTGTGTGTGTGTGTGGGTGTGTGTGTGTGTGTGTGTGCGTGTGTGTGTGCGTGTGTGTGTGCGTGTGAGATCTATCTATCTATCTATCTATCTATCTATCTATCTATCTATCTATCTATCGTGTTGCCAGGCTATTTGCGTGCACAAGCATCACTAATTCATGCACTGCACCGAGCACCATAGTGTTGTGTTGCAAGCATGAGATAAGTTATAAATACATCAGATTATCAGATTATGGATTTAGTGCAATATTCAAACATTTTCAATGATTCTGTTCCTTTAGGTATTTGCCATTTGGGGAATCTTTTCAAATAGAAGGAATATCCTGATCATGTTAAGCGACGAAGGTGTGTCTTCGACAAACCACCAAATTGAATCCCTTTCCCAGCTATCTTGTTCCGATGTGGGGGTCAGTTGGGGGCTCGACCCGGCGGAAGGAAAAGGCTGCGCTGGCACCAATTCGCCCTCCCTTACCTGAGGGGCCATCCATTACCCAAAGGGCGATCGGTCTTGTTACGTGACCCACAAGCGGGGACAGTGTTGCTAACCTTGGGCAGACTACATCCATGGCTGATGAAGTCGACTCCAGAGGCCACCTACCTAAGACCTACCAAACAGGCCGTCACTTACATAAGGGACGATGATCCCTTACGTGAGGGGCCATCCCTTACGCCCCTGACCTAAGGGACCATCCCCCATCCCTTACCTGACGGGCGATCGCTTACCTGAGAGGCCATCGCTAACCCAAAGGGCGATCAGTCTTGTTAAGTGAACCAAGTGCGGAGAGAGCGATGCTAACCTTGGCTAAGCCATGGTCAAACTATATTGAGGGCTGGTACAGTCGTCTCTCCCTATTTCACATCCGAGCGCTTGACTAGCAATTTGCAACCCTATTTTCCCTTCATTAGGTTGCCCCCCCTATCTCAAAAGACCTCAATTTTTCTCAGTGATCTGTATAATTCGATATGGGACGCTGGGCCCGGTTCCCAGCACATGCTGCTCCCCACGAATAGACTCGAGCATTTGTTCATTAAAAAAAAAAAAGAAAAAAAAAGGGTGCCCCCCCTATCTATCTTCAGGGGAAGACGGTAATGACACCAATCGGTGAAGGATCCATTTTTGCTAACCTCGGCTAAGCCATGGTCAAACTATATCGAGGGCTGGTAGGTAAAGTCGCCTCCCTATTTGAGACTCGTGCATTTGACTATCAACCCTATCTCTCCCTTCATTAGGGGAGCCCTCCCTCTCTTCAGGGGACGACAGTAATGACACCAATCGGCATTTGTGTGAAGGATCTACTTTCTGTAGGTGGGCTAAGAAGCCTCTCTCAAACTTAGAGCTAGTCATGACTGGACAAAGTCTGGCTACCGTCTTCACCCCAATAGAACGCGCGTTCATTATAGCCGTATACGGCGATAATGACCGGGCGTTCTATTCGAGTGAAGACGGTTGGTCTTCTTTTCCATAGAGAAATCCCATGGCCAGACAGAGCAGTGATATCCAACTCGAAAGAACAGGCGGCATACGGTTTCGAAACAACAGACATGGACTGCTGCAGTGGAGTCTGCACAGCTATTTATCGTCTTGTCCACATTATCGTTATCTTTAGCGGAAGGTGGTAGTCGATATGAAATCTACCAATCGCACATGTTCCACAACAGAGGAAAATGAATCGCCACAATCCGTAGAAGATTAGCAGCATGTGTCGCACCGTGGAGCTACACACACCCATTTCATCCGCCGTGATTGGACAGAACTCCATAACAATCATTTTCAATATCCAGACGCCCTCGATCACTATGTCCCAAGGAGCCTTGCGGCAAACCGTGTGCTTCTGCGGAAGTTCTGCCAAATGTGTACAACATCTGTGTGAAGCGGTGCGACCCCTGCCAAACCTGTGTAAGTGATTAACTGAGACCCTCAGTTTTCACTGTCTGGGTGAACATGAAAGCAGACGCCACGCAAAAAAAAAAAAAAAAAAAAAAAAGAAAGAAAAAAAAAGTGCATGACTGAGGTCCCCCCAATTGGCATTAAAAAGCAGTCTCTGCTGATGTTCATAGGAGGTGGGGTAATCGGGGAGGCACAGCGACTGGCCACTCAGATGATGCTGGGTCCCCTCTGACACCGGCTGTCCCCTGGCCGGTGTCCCCCGTTGGGGGTTCCCTGAAGGCAATCAAGGCCACCTTGGGCTGAAAAGGCCACCCGATGTCAGATTAGACACAATATTGACTTTACCTGGGCTGGTTAGTCCGATGATAATGCCTCACGGCCATCGCCCTTTATAATAAAAAAAACACGAAAAGGCTTTTTAACAGTTTTGAATTTTCATATCCCTTTTTTTTCCCAGGTAAAGACCGAAGATAGCCCTATACGGTTGACGAGAGACAAAACTAGCTCACTCAGGGAATAGTATACTCACACTAGTAGGATTTTCTGCACTGAGCTTTGGACATGATTGTGGTCAGATGCACCCCCGTTCGGCCGTAATTATACTCAGATATGTTTACAAAAGTGCCAGTGTGAATATGCCCTCAGACTGTATGTGGTCACTATCGGGGGTCACACTCTACCTTCTTCCCCCGAACACAACGTATGGTCATTATCGCTGTACAAAGACTGAAAGATACCCCCCACAAGACTCCTCTGGGGTCCTTCTGTTGAGTTCCGATACCCTTCATGTTCATATTGTCACATGTGTTGTGGACTGTCATCGGAACAATCCCTTCCCACCTCGATGCGTACATCCAAAATCGAAACAGCCTTACCTTGTATGATATCCCAAATGATTGTGCAAGATCGCGCAACAACGTCTTCCCTCGTAGAGCGATGTCCAAAATCGTATGGTATCATCGATCGCGCAACAACGTCTTCCCTCGTAGAG